CAACGGATATATATAATCAGATTGGGGAAATATAATGGGGTACTTGGGATAAGGCTGTCAGTTTAGAAAAAGTTTTGTCTGGAACTTAACGTACTTGTTTATAAACCTTTCAGTCCTTTTTTCTGAATGTAATTTAGTGCAAGCTATGATACACTATCTGTATAAACATTTTTATGAGTAGAAATAATCTCAATATTTTCAATTTCAAGTCCCCCAGATAATAACATTAATCGTTTTAATTTTAACTAGAATTTTAATGTCATTAAAACAAATGCTGATCAAACGGCGGTAGCGTAATACTGGCGCGTCACAATTAGTTACAGCTCTATGTCAGGAGCACCCACCACACATCTAATTGGCTCTTACGTTAAGGGGTAAACAACAAGGTGTAAAAATCCGTCATTTACAAGTACTATAAAAGTAACCGAGATTCCGTGCGGGGAATTGAATTAATAAAGGGAAATAAAATATAAATTGAAATTTTATGTCTAATAAAAATTCTTATCTATGTTTATCATGCGATAAAACAGTTGTGAATTTTAGGTTTTCCGAGGACTGAACATATAGTCGCCGCTTTGCCCGTCCGTCCTTCCGCTTTCTTGTCCGGGACATAACTCTGAAACAACAAGAGGTATTAACAAGAAACTTTGCACGTAGATCAATCTAATAAGGTAGAAGTGCAATGCAAAAGAACCATAGCTCTGCCTTGCCTTATTTTGGAGTAATTGCCCTTTGTTCATTTTTTACTTTGAACTTTGTCCAGGACATAGCTCTGAAACAAAAAGAGGTATCAACAAGAAACTTGGAAGGTAGATAGATCTCATTAAATATAGGTGCAGTGCAAAAAGCACCATACCTTTGCCTTGCCTTATTTTTGAAGTGATTGCCCTTTCATCATTTTTATCACTTTGAACATTGTGACGGGACATAACTCTGAAACTATAAGGGATCTCAACATTAAACTTTGTAGATAGATAGATTTCATTGCGTAGATATGCAGTGCAAAAGATCTATATAACTCCGTCTTGCCAACTTTTGGAGTTATTGCCCCTTTTCAATTTTACAATGTGAACTTTGTCCGTGGCACAACTCTTCAATTATAAGAGATATCAATATGAAACTTTATATTCCTTACTTGAATACTGCTGAATCACCCTTAGTATATGAGGCCTGCTTTTTAAATATGTCTTTTGACGTTATATCTGTGATATGCAGGCTTCATAACCTCAGATTCCCTTTAAAAATTCCACTTTATTTAGTTCCACCCATTGTTTTCTCGTTTAGGGCACACGCATTTTTTTTACTTGGGGACCATATGCCGCTTTTCATGGAATGGTACTAACCTGTCACATTATAGGTTCCATGATAACCGCCATATGAACACATCTGCGGATGTTTCAAAATTCTTAATTTTACCATTTCATGTTAAATGTTGAATACTGCTTATAAGCAGGTGATAGGGGGCGTGGACGGTAGTTTGCACTTGGACGTACCGTCAATGAACAGGCTTAATCAAACCGAGCCTGCAACATTTTCAATTTTGCCGCGTTGGGCTTTCTTAAGGGATTCTTTTTTCACTCTATATTGTAGGTAGATAGAATTCATTGCGAAGATATGCAGAGAAAAAATAAAGTAACTCTGTCTTACCTTTTTTTGAATTATTGCACTTTGAACTAATTCTGAAACTACAAGAGGTGTGTTTTTCTGTGTCAAAAACCTAATCGAGGAGCATCACGCGATTCAACTGTCTCTTGTCCCTTTTGCATAAGCTTATTAATGATAAGCCATTTTTAAGTCAGAAAAAAAGTCTTTGGGAACACGTTTTTATTTCTAGACACATCTAGATATCAAGCATTAACATCATCTTTATATCTATCATTTACATCATTTAAATATACAACATCTAACATCATCTAAATATCTATCATTTACATCTACACATCCATACTCTAAATGTCGATTGTCTTACAGCATCACAATATATGTAACCTAATGTCTTCTTCTATCAATCATCTAAAAGAAGCAAAATATCCACAATCTTAATCATCTTACATTATCCAAATATTCATCTTTTACACCATTTAAATATCTATCATGTAATTATGCATTATCTAACACAATTCAAAAATGCTCAACTGACATCATCATCTAACTCAATCTAAATATCCCCCATCTAAAAGTTTCTAAATATCCATCATCTGACATTAAACAAATATTCATCATTAACCTCATCTTAATATCCATCATCTTAATAGCCATAACTTAACTCACTCCAAATATTCATCAGCAAACTCCAACCAAATATCCATCATTTAACTTCACAAAATATTTATCATTTACAACATCAAAAATATCAATCAATTTACATTATCTAAAAACCCATCATCTTAATACCTAACATTATCGAAATAACCATCATCTAACATCATCTTAGTATCTATCACTTACACCATATATATGAATTATCTAGCATAATCTGAATATCCATCATCTAACATCGACCAGATTAACATCATTTACTTTTTCTAAATATTCATTATCTTAATGTCAATCATCTAAAACCATCCATAAATCTAACTTCTTACACCATCCAAATATCAGTCAATTAATATCATCAAATTTCCATCAGTAACAACATTTAAATATCTATCAGTTAACATCGTTTAAATATTCATCATCTAAATCATCTAAATATCCATAATCTAACTCCATCCACAAATCCATCATTTGACATCAAACAAATATGCACAATCTAACATCATTTATATATTCATCGTTTTACATTATAGAAATATACATTATCTAACCTCATCTTAAAAACCACCATCAAACCAAATATCCAGCAACTAATGTAATACAAAAGCCACAATCTTACCACACGTAAATATCGACCATCATCCAAATATGAATCATTCACATCACCTTAATATCAATAAACTGACATAATACAAATATGAAATATCTAACATCATCATCTATATATCCATCATCTAATCTTATTTAGATATCCACCGTTTAACCTTATCCAAATATCCACCATTTACATAATCCAAAAATCCAATATATAACATCACCCTAATATTTACCATGTTACATCATCAAAATATTCTCTATTCATATCCTTCAAATATCATATCTTTAATTCATCTATATATCCATCATTTAACATAATCCAGATATTTAACATTTTACATCATCAAAATATCTACCATCTTATATCTTTAAAGATCCACCATCTTACACCATCCAAATATCCACCATCTAACATTTTCGAAATATCGACCATCTTACATCATCAAAATGTATCGCCCATCTTCTTTCATCAAAATTATTTACCATCTAGCATCATCTAAATATCCGCCATACAACTATATTATCATCGAAATTTTCATCATCTTAAGCTCCAATTACACAGTCACGATTTGGTGTCCCGGTTTGCCACGGTTTAGTCCACCAAGTTCAACCGTGGTAAACCGGTATAGGGCCGAAGCGATTTCGTAAAGTACCGAGAAATGGGACAAACTTGGAGATTGTCACGGTTGTATTAAAATGTTTAATATAACCGTGGCCCACCAGCACTTACCGGGAAGGAAGCCCAGCACCGTATTCTATCCGCTTGGCACCGGGAATCGCCAGGGAACTAACACACCCAGAACCGGCATCACCCATAGCGTTACCGTGGCGAAATCGTGGATGGTCGGATGGACCGTGATGAAACCGTGTCTAGAAGGGCCTCCACCGGGGTCAAACGTGAATACACCGGGTTAGCATTTGCACTTTCTGTATATATCCAGTTGAACAGGGAAAACACCTGGACTCTGTCGGGGATATGTAAACTCAATTTTATTCTTCAGAAAAACACCACGCACGACCACGGTCACCGGCTTTAGACACCGTAACGATACCGTGGCCATTACCGGGAAAGTGTAAATGGGGCTTTACATCGTCAAAATAATCACTATTAATTGATATTTTTATATTGTTTTTAACAAACGATCTGACAGAAGTAATGTGTAAAATAAACCCCTAAATAGATTTGAATACACTGCATTCTTTCGTATATTTATGAATTAATTGTCCAATATTTCAATAATAATTCTTCTTTCAACAGATGATGCTATAGCAAAAATTGAACAAACAAGAAGGAAGGAAAATGGCACAGAAACCGGACAACCGTGCCAATTTATTTCGTATACAAATTCTTATTATAGACGGAAGCCTGCTTGTTTTAAGAAATATAATTGACCAGACCCTGACTGCTCAAGGCATTACTTTAAGTGTATGTTTGAATAACGAAAAGACAAAAATTACTCGTTTGAAAAGCCGCGGGATTATTACACCAGTACAATATGACCAATTGTTTCCAAAGAAGAGTGGTCAAGTCCCAACTACGTCAGATATGGACATCACGCTTATCATTTGTCTTCTAAGGAATCTGAAGTGTTTTGGATTGGAATCATTCGACTGGAACGCAACAACTAAATCAACCAATTTAATTGTGGCAGATATATGTCGATTAAAAGAATACCGAAATAAAGTAAGTTCGCGATGAAGAAGTCAACATTATATGAAAGATATCAGTGTGACCGAAGAATGACATATTTTTTTCTTAAATACAAGTCGAATCTTTGAAAGGTTCTTACTGTTTCGCATCAGGCCAAACATGTATTGTTTTAAAACATATTTTAACATTGTTTTCAAATGAGTAGAAAAAAAATAAATAAAAAAAAAAATCAGGTTTCATTTGCATTTTTCTGTTATTTGTAACTTTTATTAATTCATTTTACATTCCACATGTTTAGCGCTTATGATGAATACATATATACAATGTAATTTATATGGCGTAAACTGCACTAAAATATAGGAGCAGCAAAATTGCCCATACTATATACGAAAAACACTGCTTTATTTTCTATGCGTTCATTAATTTCTTTCACGCGTTTTAAATTTCCAAGCTTTGAAGTTAGATGTTCGAAACTATCAATGCCTTCTTAACACAGGAGTTGGCGGGTTATTTTCACTGAATGGCTGATATTTTTAATTCTTATTTCAGATAAGCCATATAGCAGAAACAACTGCAATACAAGCAAATGACTTTGCAACTTGGTGGAATGACATCGAGCAGGTAAATAATGTGGCAGTTTTTAAGAAAAGAAACAAACTAAATTGACCAGTTATAGCGAATGTTGACTCTAAAACATTGTTTGTGAACTCTTTTATGCAAATTAGTAATTTTCAGTACGAATTTCTTAGAAACCAAGCAAATTTGGCAATTAAAGTTTTTAATCCAACTATGAGCATATTTCTAGGGTTGTAGGTCCTTAAACATGCATGCCTCCAGATGAGTCCGATCGACTTTGAGACAATTGAACTTAGATTAAAAAAAAGTAAAAATATTCTCAATTCAAGAAATAATTTACATGTGATATGAAATTATTGGCTGATTTAACATTATTATTATTTTATTATAATCATTTTTCTGCTGCGTGACTTACGCAATAAGGAATTGTTTTGCATACTCTAAGTTTGGTGAGTTTCGTCTCTGATTTTTTAAACGTCTTATTAAGGCATTTCATAATGGCTTTGAAATAGTTATATTATTTATAGATGTTAGTTAATGAATGTAACCTCATTCGGAAGTCATGGAGTTTTATAAATACTTTAAGTTTTGCTTCTCTCGGGTAGTGACATTTACTTAACATACAACTAAATGTTAAGCTTTTTTCATTTCTTTCATCTGGTATACATGTATTTCATACATTAGAAACATATTAATAATTAACTTTCGTTACTTGTTCGTTAATATGATGCGCCTGTATATAACTGTCTGCATTTAAAATCAGCTAGATAGTATACATTGACAATGTGTTTATTTATTATTTTTTATCATTTATTTTCTGATTCATTTTATGATTTAATGCAAGCAATGATCAAATCAACAAATTCATCGAATTTTATCATGCATACATAAACAAAATTCAAGTTGATATTTCCGGTTAAATTTCCTTTTCAGATACTTGTTCGACTTAGTTCTCCAACTTTGCATATTCAGCAAACAATTGCCGGTTTCAAAGTTTGCCCTCTAGATCCAGAGGAAGAGAAAAGGGTTCACGAAGAAATGGGAAAATGGAATGACCCAGAGGCCGATGTTGATCGATTGGAAAATGCAATGACAAAAGTAAACAAAAGGGTTTCTGACGTTGAGAAAGACGTGGAGGACATCAAAAGACGACGACAAGATGAAGGTCTGTTTTTTTTCTTCTTATTTTTTTTTTGCTCATATATTATAGTAAAAATAATCCAACATCATTTAAATGTCTAAAGTTAATCCTCAGCAGAACAATGACTATGCCATCGTATGAAAAAATATCATACCTTTCTAATTAGAGCGATATCTTTGTTGAAAAATTAAAATGAGGAAAAAAAAAAGGATAAATAAAATAATGTAAAACAACTTGATTATTTTCGATATACCCTTTTTAAAATGTAAAAAATACTTTTTTAAAAAGCTATGTTACTAATATTTTAATTTAAACCCTACTTAAAAATGTTTGTAATGATTTTATGGATAAAGAGAAAAAATTTTTTTCTCTTTAATAGTAAAAATAATAAAGCAAGTTTTTTGCCCAAAACTTGTACAAAAAATTGCTTAAAAATGCTAGAGATTAAGACATCATATTTCTTCCATCATATTTTAAATCTGCTTTCATTAATAATCATAAATAGCTTTCAATATCTTGAATGATGTTTATTAAAGTTTTGTTAACATGTTTATTTTATTAGTTCTATACGAATAGAAAATAGTAATGTTATAAACAGTTATCAGGACATACACTGATTACATGTATATCTGTTTGATAACGCAGGTGTCTCTTCCATGCAGACAGAGGAGGAAAAATATCAAAAACGCAAGAAGGGTATGTACATATAGCTGCACTTCTATATCAAACAATAAGTGTAAGTAAATATTAATGCATTTATAAATCATCCAAAAAGTGTGAGTTAGAATTTCTATATCAAGCAAAAACGGTAAGTTAATATCGCTGCAGTTCTATATTAAGCGAGAAGTGTAAGGAAATATTGATGCCCTCCAATATCAATCAAGAAGGGTAAACAAATGTAGATGTTATTCTATATCAACCAAGAAGTTTAATAAATATTCTTATATATCAAGCAAGAAGGGTAAATAATATAGATGTCCTTCTTTATCAAGCAAGAAGGGTAAATAAATATAAATGTCTTCCTATATAAAGCAAGAAAGTTAGTAGATGTTTATGTTCTTCTATATCAAGCAAGAAGTGTAAAAATATAGATGTTCCTCTATATCAAGCAAGAAGGGTAAAAAATATAAATGTCCTTTTATGTAAAGCAAGAAGGTTAGTACATGTCTATGTTCTTCTATATCAAGCAAACAAGGTAAAGTAAATTTTAATGTACTTCTATATCATTAAAAAGTTTTGTAAATATTTTTTAAAATCACACAACAAGAAACAGTAGCTATTGAGTCTTCCATTTCAAACAAGAAGGTAAATCAATATTGGGTTTTTTTTTTTTAAAAAAAAGGGGAAGTAAAAAAATTTTTTAATTTATAACAACAAGGGGGCGAGTAAATATTGATGTTTTTTCTATAAATAGCAATGAGAGTAAGAAACTATTTATATGGATTTTTATATCAAGCAAAAGGGGTACGTAAAACACGCTTTGGATGTTTCAATACGAAGAATACTTTCCAAAACAAAGAATATCCTAAACACATAACATTTAAAAAAAGAACGACGAAGTGTAGGATAACGGAAATTAGACGGTAATTAGTCAACCAAGTTTCCAAGTTTATTTGATTATCTCAGTATGCATACAAATACATAAACACGAGAAAACATCGCTAGTTAATGGACGGATATTAATTATGATAGTAAACTGTCACCGGACACGCGAGTAAGATATGCCTAATTTAGTTAATTGATGATCATGTCATCACATAAGAAGGGATTGTACGGATTGGCGAGTAAACATAATTGTTAGCTGTCCGGAAACGCATATTTGCAGTTATGAATTATGGGTTAATAAAGATTAAGGCGTAAGTGGGTTCACTATATAAAGTAAGCCGAATATTACATTTTTAGTGTGGTTTTTGAATTGAGATACACACACTCACTCAGGTTAAATTATGCTAAATACGCAGTTGACATTAATTCTTATTGCTTTACGTATTTGTTTAAGAATTGTGAAATTATTAAAGACATTGATTAAACAATTGTTTTATAGAATCTAATATCTGTACTAAATAAAAAAACATATCTATGACGTTTAAACTTGATATTGTGTTGACTTATTCATATTGAGTTATTCCGATCTGGGCGTTACACTACAAAAGTTAAGGGATATAGAGGATATTTGTTTAGTTCAGTGTAAGATCGAAATATATTTCACCGAGTGAGCACCAAAATGTATATTTCACGAATGGCGCAGCCACGAGTGAAATATGAACTTTTGGTGTTCACAAGGTGAGATATAGTTCGATCTTACACTAAACTTAACAAATTTTCTTTTTATTATATGCAAAGAAACGTTTTAAAAAGACATTAAACCTAATACTAAATGAAAAGCGCGCCAAATAATAATACAACGTGACGTCATTTACGACGTCACGTCATTAAATTGGTACCCAGTACTGTGCACGCTGGTATTTCACTGAAACAACGTAAGGGGCTTAAATTCAAAACAGTGAAATTACCAGTTTTAAATCACTGATATATTTCTATAAACCACCGAAAAGCATGTAATAAAAGGGTATTATCAACCTTTTCATCCGCCCTTCTGTCCAGAGATGATCATTACTTCTGCATTATAATCAACAAAAACAACAAGAAACATTGTTAAAACCTGAGAAAATAATCATTCTTATAGTAGATATATCTGTATATTTGGCTTAATTTTAATCACAATAACATCCGAAATAAATATTTCTTTGAAATTCAATGCCCTTTGGTGTGGTTTAAAAACTTGTAAGTGTAACTGGTTTTATCTTTTTTAAACAATACATGCCCGATAGCACTCGCAACATATGTAATGTGTCAATTCTTGTCCATCTTTATTAATTATTGAGTTGTGAAATATTATGAGGCTATTATACATTGTTGAGTACAATACTGAATTCTATTAGACGAGTACACAGCTTTCAAAACTATATTAAACAAGGGCTTGCCGAGTCTGATATAGGTGTTGCAGCTGTCGAACTTCTATCTAGGCCCGATAACTTAACGTTGTGCAAAAAACGAAATCATATAGAAAATTATATAATTATTAATTGTATTAGACGTCGCGCGCGCAGGTTTTGCTATGTCCCTAAGTGCCACGGCACTTCTGACCAGGTTTATTTAGCATATGGCACATGATAATCACTTCTGATTCATACGAAGTAGTCTGAAGTTATTTGCGGAGAACAGGTCGAGAATCATTTTCTACCGCTATAAAAACTTTTACAGGTAGTGTTAAAGTAAAAATCAAATAATATATCCAGACAAAACAGTGATTTTATTAAAGATACTCCACTGTGCTTTTTACATAACTGTTAGAAATAAATGTTCCATTTGATGTAATTCTTGACTTCAGAACATTCGTCACTGCGTTTTTTTTCAAGACTGAAATCTAAAAATTACACAAAATTGAACAATGTTTTTCTCGCTAATCAGGCTGAGAAAAGCCCTTAAGTACGATTTTAAATTTATTTTTTAGTAAAGTTCTTAATTTCCCACATTGATCTTTGTAAAAGCTTAAATTTCTATATACTTAGACAATTGAACCTCAGTAGTCTTAATGATAAAATCACTGCTGGGGTCAGTCATTAACAAATAATTGCTGGCGATATCTGATATAACGCTAAATTTTGACTGCTTTGCTTTTTATTTCACCTCAGTTCCATAGATGTTCGGCGCGTTGATTGGTCACTACCCCGGGCCCCCTCACCCATTCTACAACCTTCCTACCTCTCAAAACCATGTAAACTACTACAGTTTGTTTTCATTTGAAGCATGTTTTAATATTTGATATATGTTTCAATTCGATTTCCTTCATTTTCCACAAAAAAGTAATAATAAAAATAATACATATATATTTAATAAAGGTCGCCGCTCATTTTTCACTCCATCACTCTAATATTTTTTCACCAATTTTCAAAATCTTGGTACCAAGTTGTGAGGAGTTGATTACTCTTAAAAGAAATAAAGCTGTCATTACAATAATTTCAAGTTATTAGAAGACATGTTATCTCGAAGTCACCGCAAGTGTAAGCCAACAGAGACCTGACAGAGTATTTTGTCAAAATTACATGACTAAACGGCAGTTATTTTCGAGTATTTTGTCAAAATTACATGACTAAACGGCAGTTATTTTCGAAATGAATGAATATTTTTTTGTATTGCGCATATATAGATATGCTAAAATTATATTATTATTTGTAATAATGTTCAATCAAAACATCATATGAAAGTATATCAAGTATTGTTATTTCCGAGATGACATAACTGTTGTATGTAACTAAGCATATTGTTGGGTTATCTCCCCTTTACCAGCATGCAAAAGTTAATTGAATGAAAGACATAAAATCACTTTAATTTAAGACGGATGATCCGATCCAAACAGTTTACATTTATCATGCTTCTTTAAATATAGCTGGTTAAATACTTGAAATAAGTTAATCGCATGCGTATTTCTAGGGAAAAAGCCAAACGTCGCAAATGCATAAAAAACAATAAATGTTGAGCAAGAGGCTTTTTAGTCCATTTTTAAAGAAATATACGCTTAAATATTTAAAGTTTTAGTTGTGTTTACTTTCAAATACCATGTTTGACAGAACGTATCTGAATCATTTACCATTGACTGTAAAGCCAAATAAAGCAGTCTTGCAAAAGATAGCATAAATAATAAACAACCCATTTTTCAATTTCTTTAAAATATCAGTTCTTTCTTTTTAGATTATACGTGAACCAAAAAATAATGATATCGGCATGTCATTATTTAAATGTCATACTTATAATAAGTGTTTAGATATGTAACATATAATAGTAAAAATAATGATAATAATAATAATGATAAAATGATATAACATAATAATAATAATAATAATAATAATAATAATAATAATAATAATAATAATAGAAATAATGTTACATTATTAATATTATTATGTAAAGTCGTACTGAGTGATTCGCATGCACAATCGCATAATTGCTAAGTTGCGTAAATTTTTATAAAAACAAATAGTTAATCTAAAAGTGTTAACTTATTTATTGTTTGGCAATATTGAACTTACTGTGAAACACTTGTCTTACTAGCATCGGTACCAAAATGAAGATTGAAAGTTCGAATCAAGATGAACATTTGTTTTTTACATTTTCTTTTTATATAGAAAAACAAAATGGAATATTGCTGCGGAAGTTAAATATTAAAAAGATAAAAATTATCTTACAATCCTGCCGTTTTAAATACGAGTATTTTTACACATTAGAGCTTTAAAGTTCTCCGCTTTGTTTTTTTTTTCCAAAGATTAACTTGTTTGACAGATTTAAAGTGAAAGTAAAATGCACTATATATCAGTTTGTCATTTCGCAGTTAATCGCATGCGTATTTCTAGGGAAAAAGCCAAACGTTGCAAATGCAAAAAAAGTTCAAAAAATGAAACACACACACACACAAAAATATAGCGTATTGTCAGCTCATTCAACAGTTATTTCCAAAATTAGTCCCAATCTTTGAGGAAGTGCTGGCGAAAAATGAGAGATTCCTACTGCCAGTTTTTACACGCGTTAATGCGATTGTCTTAAAGCTTTTTGTCTCGCCATTTAATGGTTTTTCGCGCCATATGAGTTAAAATCTTTAAATAGAACTAATGACAGTTGTCGTCTCTCCATATGAAATAGCTATTAAATTGTGTTGGTTGCAGTACACATAGTACAAAGGCGAAACTCTAGACGAAAGCTGTAAATCAGGAATTTGACGCTTCTTTCATTGTTTTTTTTAATTTGGTAAGAATTTGTAGGTTTTCATGTCTTAATTATTTATAACTTAACTATTGGATGAATTTATATATTTCTATTAATTCACAAAAAGTAAACGCATTTGTTATTTATAATAGGTGGACAAATGTTGTGGGCGCAAGAATCAGTAAATTGTAAGTCGGGTCTTAGTTATTGGGGGAAAGGAATATTCTTTACTTTTATATTTTCTTTTTTGCCGGGTACTGAGAATTGTTTAACACTACAGTATTAGTTCGGGCGAAAATATGGTTTTCAGGAATAGCGACAAAATGTATTCTCTTTTTAAAATTGAATGGGGTCTTATTTCAAACCCAAGTTGTCCCTTAAAAGCACGGCTCTTGTACAGCGTGACATTGACTTTTGGTATAATAATACACATACAATCTTGGGACCGTAACCCCTACGATCTTGGTCTCCTATACCAAATGTCATATACTGAAAACATTGTCAGCATTTTTTTTATATCCGCTTAATGACCGTTCACTGATGTATACATGAATCAGTGACATGAAGACATGAAAATTAAGGGAGTTATTTCTTTATCTTATTTGACAAACATATATATGAAAGTGCCTAAACATATGATTACTAATGTACAAGTGTTAACATATTATGCCCCTATGGTAAATACTGGATCAATCCGAAGGATCAGTTGTTATGCATGTAGGAATTTTTATATATTCTTTTAAGTTAATTAGTACTGCTGCATGACCTAAGATTTTCATTTTTGGCCTTAATGTCAGTAACACACGCCGTAATTGTGTTCAAATGTAATCTACTACATACAGTTAACAAACCAGTCAATTTCGGAAATCGTATAACAATGGTCTTAGAATTTCGTGGAGATGTTAATATCCTGTCATATTCAACATAACATCATCAAAAATTGATGTATTAAGCCTACTCCGTAGTGGAAATTGTCGAAAGGAAATGTAGACATCATTGTGTTGACACCACGAGCATGATTTAATGGTTATGCTATAAGAAGACTATTGTCCAATTCCCTTAAATGATTTAATAGAAAGAAATCTTCGAGGTATGATTCCTTTTATATGAACAGCAATTTCTTGGTTCTAGGTGAATACTGGTTAATTTTACCCAGGAATATTACAAAGGTAAAAAGCATACCATACTTTGGTATTATGAAAATTGAAATAACTGGATGAAGTATTCAAAAAATAACAAAACCAGTCTACAGTAAACATGTGTTTACATTAATGATTTCTGTCTTCATTTTTGTGTTTTTCATAAAATGAAAGATGTTTTGACATTTTTCTATTTAAATACATTTATATATGAAAAATATAAAGTTCGTTATTACTGATAGACACAAATGTTTAAATCTTTATACTCATTGATGATTTGTAAGAAATATTTATACAGTTCTCAGTTATCATCTTTTCTTATAATGAATTTCAAATTTTTGAGAAACAACATGTTTTATTATATATTTCAGAGCTAAAAGATGGTATGTTTGAATTCTACAAAGCAAGACACAGTAAAGTTTTCCTGTCGCCTCTTTTTGAAGAGAAAGACACTCCGTTTGCTTCTTTCTATATCAGACCAGAATTGAGCTCAATAGTCTCAACACCGACGAGAAATGATGCAAAATTACCAGTTAAATCATTATCGGAGATGTTTAATACTGATAATAAGCAAAATAGAGAAATTTATGTGCTCGCTGATGCTGGAATCGGAAAAACTGCATTTTCAAAGTATTTGGCTATCTTGTGGTGTCAAGCTCATTGCCCAGACGAAGATATGTATAAATTATTTTTAAAAGATGATATAGACTGTATGCATGAATTTGACTTTTTATTCCTGGTCTTATTGCGAGATTCGGACGATTTATGCTCTATAGATGATCTCATATTTGAAAAGATTGTTTCAAATTTGGGTCTAGAAGAAAAATTTCCGGAAAACGTTCTGCTTAAAATTTTGAAAAATGAGAAATGCCTAGTTATACTTGATGGACTAGATGAATGGACTCACCCCGACAAGAAATGTTACAGATCGCCACGATCGATCCCTCACAGGAATGACCGAGAAAAGTGTACAGTCCTGACTACCACGCGACCATGGAAATTAGGTGTTTTGCATCTTAATTCGTATCAATTAGGTAAAAAGGTAGAACTTACAAAACTGTGTTATATCTCGGCAGTTACACTTGCAGAAAGAATTTTACAAAGATGGAAGTCTTACCCGAATAAGGATATATCAAAACTCGAAGTCAACCAGTTCTTACAAACAACCAGTAAGAGACAAATCGACGAGCTTGTTTGTGTACCCCTACTTTTAATATATAGAACTTGTTTATGGTGTGATGGTGTTCAAATAGGAGATTCAAAATGTGATCTCTATATAAATATAGTCGAGCTTCTTTTATCGAGAACGATTAAGATCCATGGGGAGCTTCAACAATCCCATGAACTTTCTTCCAGTGACATCCCAGAATGCTTTGCTGAATATGATAACTGTACGAAATACTATCCACTTCTGATGCATTTAGGGAAATTAGCTTATTATACGTTATTTAGTGAAACAAGAGAAAACACTCTAGTATTTGATGGATCAGTTGCTAGAAAACACCTGACACTAGACGAGACGAAATTTACCTTTCACTCAGGAATGTTGTCAGAAAGTACATCTTACACAACAAGAAAAAAGTTTAGTAAAGTATCGTTTTCCCATAAAACAGTTCAGGAATTCTTTGCTGCCATATTTATAAGTTCTAACAGTGATGCACAGAAAATTGTTCTAGAAAAATGTAGAAATATTCAAGACATTCTGGGCATGTCAATGATTTATGAATTTATAAGTAAAATGAATTCTTACCGGATGTGTGAAATATCAAATGATTTGATGTCTGTGATAAATAAAGACGAGGAAACACGCGACTATAGAACTAGGACAGGTGACGAGGACACGGACAATAATTCATTGTATAACATACAGAAGTTGTTCATGTGTTTCCAAGAAATACCTGCAAGTGAAAATATTCAATTATGTTTACAAGATTTGTTCATTGACGAGTACACCGTGCACAGTAAGCAGTTACAACGTTTTTTAAAGCAAAATAATACCAACATGAAATCACTTTATATAAACACCAGACGTACTTCGAGCAGTTCACATGGAATTATAGACCTATTATCTATCAAAGATCAGAGTCATATACAGAAATTTTACTTTGATGGCGACAGGCAGAAGGAGGCTGAGATAAATCTCCTACTATTTAGTGTAAATTTAAAGTCATTACAATATCTGAATATAAGTAACTTCACGCTATCTCACAAAATACTAGAAATATTTTTAAATTTTGTCTGCGGCCAAAAATCAATGAAAGAGTTAACATTGAGGGTGTTATACTGTATAGAACATGGCCGCCATGATTGTAACAGATTGAACTTGGACTTGTCTAAACATTCAACTCTATCAAAGTTAGACTTGGATGGGTTACCTGGGAATCTATTAAATATATCAACACCATCATTAGTTAATGTTACGTTGGGGAGCATCAATCTCGATGAAAGTTCATTGTTACTGTCACGTAACATGTTGAGTATTGAACGTGTGGTGTTGGACAATATAGAAATGTCTGCAGGAAGTTTACAGAACTTTATTAACGTGCTAGAAAATCTGCCACAGTCAGTTACAGTAGGGATGTACGCCATTAAGCCGGAAACAGAATATGACCGAGTTAGAGAAAATATTCGGAGTTCACAAGCTTTTCATGTGATACGAGACGACTTCTACCTTGAGTTCAAAACAAGGAAACCAAATAAAGAATAAACAAAGGAAAAACATTGTAAATACAGTGAAGAAATTACTTTTATTTAATGAAATGTCTTCATACTTGGACATTACAACCCTTCGGAGTGCCACTTGTTTATTTGTGTTAGTGATGTTTCGGTCTCAATTTTATTTTTCATTATTTCATATTTGTCCGCCTCATATTAATAAGAAAGGCATTTTGATACCTATTTACAAAAAAACGTAAAACATTTATTCAAGTTGGCAAGAAATTTTTAAAATCATGACGTCACAATCATACACGTCAGTATTCTGTCGCCTATTATAACTTACGATTCATGGAAATCAGTTTACGACGGATATACCTGTATGTTAAATGTTGAACTAGATACGAATTGTACAATTTCGTCAAAAAATTACAATTTATACAATACAGTATGTGTTATTTCTTGTTTCAGTGGCCTTGGATCAAAATTTCTGATTCTTTGTTGTGCAGAATATCCCCTGACACTTTACATGGAGCATTATGTGAGGATAGATAAATTTGTAGAAATGCATTTGAAAAGTTTCCTCTTGTCTTGCTAAGACTTTTTAAATATCTTTATGATGGACAGCCTAATAAACTGTATATAAATTAACATAGTTATCCCCCTTAGAAGAAGTGGGAGTATATTGCTCTAAGTCAATTATTGCATCACACTTGCCGGTCAGTTGGTTCTTCTTTCCGTCGGTCTGAAGACAAAACCGATTCTAGTCAATAACTTAAGACTTCAAACCACTTGCCCCTCACCGCTGTGGGTTCGAATCCCGACAGGGACTTTGGATTCTTTCATGTGAAGAAGCTATCCAGCTAGCTTACGGAACGTCGTTGGCTCTACTCAGGTGCCCGTTTGTCCCTGAAATAATGCACAGAAGGGCACCTGATGTCTTCCTTCACCAGTAAAGCTGGAACGTCGCCAAATGACCTTTACTGTGTCGGTGTGATGTAAAACCCAATTAAACAAACAAACAAATTTATTTCAAGAGTAAAAGAGTAATTTCTTCTTTGAACTTATAGATTTACTTTAAAAATTACTTGCTCTTATCATTTTTGTTACTTAAGGGATAATAACTCAGTAGTCGGATTGTTGCCTTTTAATCCGTTAGAGCATAGAAATGTATGTTTAACTTTAATTGACATGGTATCATGCAAATTATGTGGTGCAAATATATTGAACATATGAGTGCTTTCTTGATAATTTGATAAGTAATGCAATTGTATCATCTATGTCAATCTAGTTAGTCGAGCATGCTGTCTCCTCTATATCAGCTCTTGTTATTATCACTGAGCAATGGAATAAATAAATTAACAAAATAAATAAATTCAAATAACGACAGTTACGGTCGGTTTAGTTTTACACGTGCCAGTTTTGACGTTTAGTTTTAGGCTTATTGTGCTAAGTATTTCTAGACCTTTCACTGATTATTGATTAGGCCAAAGTATTGATTTTTTCTATTCTGTATCGCTTATTGATTGACAGAAAAATATAAATGATAAATTAATATCTTTTTATTGGTAATGATGTAATGTACAGGCATGACCATACATTATTCGGAAGTCAATTATGCATTGACGCCAATTCATTTTATGTCGAATAATACAATAAGTTGCAAATCACAAAAATAAATCGAATGTGTTTGCAGTTCTAACTTAAATTGCAACAGTTTTTTGTCATTTGCAATACCAGAGGTCAGTGAATCGACTTGAATTTTGGCTGGTTCGTTAACTTTAAGTCTGTTGGCGTCAACATATTCTATCCATGCGTACATTATGCAGACCAAGATCAGCCGGCATATATATAAGTATTTTCAAAGTTATCCCTATGGTAAATTGTTCTGTCCAGATTGAATGATTGACAAGTCTATTAAAGTAATTTGGATTGGTTATCTTGAAAATTGACAAAAAACAGTAAACAGTTTTAACAGTGTTAGAATAGGAAATTCCTGCTACATAATGTTATAATTATGACTTATTGCTTTCCTTTTTTTCTGAATATCAGCTATAATAAATCTACAAAGACAATGAGGACAGTCACAACTGTTCGGCTTTTTATCCGCCAATCTCCGGATGATTATATCAGCGAGATGTTCTGAATGACAAAGATGTTAAAGTTTTTAATTAATAAATACTTCATTATTATGACTTCACACATCGAATAAATTTGTGATTAACAGCAGCAGAAAAATACCCCCAAAACATCGTTAATTGACAATACATTGGATAGCATTCTGGTTCCTGGCTTAATGGAGACATAATAGAAAACCTTTGCGTTACACAGTTATCTCGTATCCGTTTCGTACAAGTAGAATTTGAATCTTAAAGACTATTACACCAAGACCGTCAAATATTTCAGTATTCCTTCAAAAAATTTATGTTAAAATAATTTAATTTAATTACATATAAACCTGTTTCTACAAATTAAGAATGACATTATACCGGTATAACAAGAATTCTTAAAATATTTATCATTAAAGGCACATTATGCTTCAGAAATGTTATCATTTTTTTTCTCCAAAACTTTTTTATTTTAGTTATCTTTTTACAGTTTCCCAAAATTACTTGTTTGCCATATACATAAGCTATCTTTTTCTGATTTTGTTATGTTGGCAGTTGGTATAATTATAGTGAATTAATGTTTCGTATGGAAGTCAAAATACTACTTTGTTTACAATTTGCTACCTCTTTACAACCCATTACTGCATGTTCAGTGCTATCTATTCACTTGTTTAACATCTAACATGCTCTTAAACCATAATCAAATCTTTATTAAACAAGTCCATGTGATGGTTATATAGCAAACAAATTTTTATGTACGACCATATAACATTTCAGAAGTCATTATAACCAAATTAGGATATTTCTCACCTGTCTCCTTTATTTTGAAACAAATCAATTTGCACTTGCTACAATCATGTTTATTCTTAGTTATAAAGATTCTGAATTTGTTACGGCTGTTTGCATATATAGCCCGAGCTGCTAGGTGAGGATGATATTGCTTAAAACAGTTTATATACGTTTATATAGAATCTAATAATGAATTTGTAATACAGATAAAATTTCTTCATTACAGAAAAATATATATTTCATATATTGACAGAGCGGTGTATATATTAGTATATATAAATGAAAAGTGATATTTCAAGTATGCAGTATTATAAAAAGTAGATATATATTGTATATTTGAGTTACCATTGATTTATTTTTAGCTAGTTTATGTTTTATCTTTTTGTAAATAATCTTTGTTCGGAGTGATGTCACTTTAAAGATGTAGAATATTGTACAATTTGAAGATAAATTGATAACAATATTAGCAGACTTGAGTATTTTAATGACAATACATAGTTCACTTCTGAACAATAGCATTCGCAACATGAAATTGCACATTTATCCTAAACTGTACGTAATATTTATAATGGATAAATATGATACGAATAGGATGCTTTTCAAGCAGCATGTCTTCCTTATTCATGCTAATTTTCATGAAAATTTTGAAAATATATTTAAATATATTTGGAGGATAACACTTGAAAACACTAAATGTTTTTGAAATACACTGTATTAAATATTTTTTGAAACCTCATTGCTTAATATAATTCATTAAGAAAGAGAGCAGAACACATTAATGGTAATTCTACCTATCATAATTTTTATGCTCCCAGAAGGGTCAGCATATAGTCACAACTTTGTCCGTCTGTTCGCTTTTCTCGTCCGGGACATAACTCTGAAACAACAAGAGGTATCAACATAGATCTTTGTAGGTAGATATATCTCATTTGGTACATGTAGATGTACAGTGCACAAGAATCATAACTCTGCCTTTCCTAATTTTGAAGTAATTGCCCTTTGTTCATTTTTACACTTTGAACAATGTCCAGGACATAGCCCTGAAAGTATAATAGATATGAACAATACATTTTGCACTTTGATAGATCTCATTGGGTAGATGTGCAGTGCAAAAGAACCATAACTCTGCCTTGCCTAATTTTGGAGTAATTGCCCTTTGTTTATTTTTACACTTTGAACATTGTCAATGACATAGATCTGAAAGTGTAATAGACATAAAGAAGAAACGTTGCAGGTAGATAAGTGCCATTTGGTAGATGATCAATGAAAAAGAACCGTGACTTTGCCTTGCCTTATTTTGAGTTATTGCCCTTTGTTACTTGTTTCACCTTGAACTTTGTTCGGGACATTACTTTGAAATTTCAAGAGGTATCAACAAGAAACTAAGTCGGTAGATAGATCTTATTATGTAATAGTGCTGTGCAAAGGTGACGGAAACGTACTTTAGAGTTAATTTGATTGCCTTCCCTTTCTAAGTTCGCCATTTGTATTAGAAAAAATATAATAATCCATTAAAAACATTTGACATGATATTTTAGGTATTTTTTACAATCAAATCCATTTTAGGGTATCTATCTAAGTGTTTATATTTGAAATTGTTTATCTATTACTCACAATAGTTTGTAAGAGAAGTCACTTCTATTAACAGATGTTCATATGGTTGAGTTAAAATCAGTTTCAAGAAACGTTTTATTATTTTAGCCAATAAAAACCATTGTTTTTATTCACTGCGGGGATGAGTCTTCACCAGGATATATTAAATAGAGCGTTAACAGCGTATCCCAAGAAAAATTATTTATTTATATTTAAGAATATTAAGATTTTATTTTGTAGCACTTGAATAATAATTAACCGCTAGGTACACGCTACACAAAGAACAGTAACTCTGTCTTGCCTTAAGTTGAAATAATTGCACTTAAATAGTAATGAATTCGAAATTTCATTCAAGAAAATATCTCTAACAATTATGTCTACTCTCCAGTTTATAATATGAATACTTCATTTTATTGTTCACACAACAACTCAAAACGTTAGGGTTATATCAGGTAGAATATTTTTCAAAGATTAGAGAAAAACGATATCCTTAAAGAACGCCCAAACAGACAAAATTGAAAAAAACGACATATGTTGCAGGCTCGGAGCTTTTAAGGTTATTGCATTTCATGTGTGTTTGTTATTATACAGTAACCAAGGGAGATAACTATATTGTGTTATTGTTGTTCATAAACAATTATTGTTAAACATAATTACAACAAGGGTGGTAACTATATCATGTCACTATTTTGTTTTAATGTTTGAACTGTTAGCAGTGAACTAAGCAATAAGGATATTTCAACATTATATTTCATTGTTTAATGATTAATGTACAATGCTTATAAAATATTGTTTTCTATGTATTTTATGATTATCATAATAAAATTGTGTAAGAAGAGTCGACTTATTCTTATCATTAACGCATGCACCTACTATGGTGGCCTTGATGTTCAAAAGCCTGCAGTGTACCAAGTTATTCTGAGTTTGAGCTTTACTGGAAGAAATTAATATTTTATGACACCAGTACTGGATAGTCCAGGAAATTTAGTCAAGAATTTAATATATTTAAAACTTTCTTAGCAACTGAACTAAAATAATATACTTGCCAGTACTTCATTAGTTCAAGACAATAGCGATCAGTGATCACATGTGTCGCCTCATGATAGCCATAACTCGGCAAAAAATTATTCAACTTAAAAACATGATAGGATAAGCAAGAAGAAAATTACACGTCAACACCAGGGATGTTTACCTATCTTTTGCTATTGTCTTGAACTAATGAAATACTAGCAAGTATATTATTTTACCTCAGTTGCTAAGAAAGTTTTAAAATATATTAAATTCTTGACTCAATTTCCGGAACAAAATCATTCAAGTAGAGAACCGGTGTAATATGCGCAAGAACTTGAGCTACAGATTAATCCTTTAGTTTTATGGAAATTGCATAAGTGGTATAAGAAGAGTGGTCTGGACAAATGTTAGAAATTAAAATCATTAAAGGGCCATTTCTCTGACACAAATGAAACAAAAAAAAGAAAATGTGATGCACAAGTAGACCTGGTATTGATCATTCCTGTAAAGTTGTGATGAAATGGCACCAGTAGTTTCTGAGAAGTAGCCCACACAAGCTTCTGTGTAGCTGGCAACATAAAAATACCTTTTTTATTGAAGGACCATAACTCGGCCAAAATCATTCAAGCAACAAACTTGTTTATTATGCACAAGAACTTTACCTACCTATCAATCCTGTAAAGTTTAAATGAAATTGCATGTGCTAAAAGAGGAGTAGCCCGGACAAACTTTAAAAATGAAAATAGTTAAACGGCCATAACTCCGACAAAAAATATTAAACCACAAAAGCCGCTGACATGCACAACTAGGCTTAGTACTAATTATTATTGTAAAGTTTAAATGAAACTGCGCCAGTAGTTTGTGAGAAGTAGTGCTGACAGGCTTCTGTGTAGCTAGCAAAACACACAAAAACACATTTTTATAAAAGGGCCATCACTCGGCCAAAAATCATTCAACGTGAAAACTCGTGAAATGTGCGCAAGTATTTGAGCTACCAATTAATCCTGTAAAATTTCACTGAATTATCTTTCAATAGTAGTATAAGAGAAGTAGTCCCGACGATATGAACAACTAGACTTGGTACTGATCAATCCTGTAAAGCTTGGATGAAATTGCACCAGCTTTTAGGAGTAGTCAGGAGCAGTTACGTGATGGACGGACAGGCAGACAGACAGGCGACTGAGAAGTGATCCCTATATGTCGCCACTACTCTGTAGAAGCGACACACTCAATGTTATGGTAATGTAGATATAATAAGGGAGATATTACCTAAATACTTAAAGAAATTGTAGACAATGACAACAAACAATCCGTCACACAAAAGCTCACCTTTTTGCCCCCATATAAGTTTTATTTATGAAGCATTTAGTAATAATATAAGTTTCCCCTGCTGAGACAAGAGCGATTAGTGATCACATGGCATTGTGATAGCCAATTGCATGTTGCAGCTACTGTGTAGCAGGAGACACCAAAATCATTAATGGGCAAAACGCTTTTTTTCAAAGCCATAACTCAGCCAAAAATCTTAAGTTTGGATGAAATTGCACCAGTAATCTTGGAGAAGTAGTCCGGACAAAATTTTGCGACGGACCGACAGACAACGGAGAAGTGATCCCTATATGTCGCCATTACTCTGTAGAGGCGACATAAAATACTAAAATCAGAATCAATAATTTCATTTAATACAGATATATCTTAAAATTGATTCCTGTCATAAAATTACTTCGTGCACATGATTGTTTGGCTCAGTAGCTCAAAATATTATTTCAACTAATGTTTCCTTATAATAACGATACCAGTTTTGGTTAGTTCCAAGAAACAGACATTAAGAGAACGGTTCAAAACAGCTCAAATCATTCATAACAATAGAAAGCTTCAACTTGCAAGAGGACCATTGTAAAATATGTATCTTTATTTCATGTTTATTGATCCGCGCCCACAGGTGCGGAACTATTTGTGTTGCTGTTAAATATTATTATTGAAAACAAAATGGGAAATGTGGGAAAAAAATATCTATACAGTATGGTAAAAATAAAAAGTTATGAACGGAAGGGTACATACAACTAGATCTAGATTTTACAATTCCAACATGGCGTCAAAACCGAGATGGCCGACATATTAAAATTTTCAGATTATTTTAGTTTTTCAGCTGTAATCATTTTCAGATTAGTACAAAATAACACAAAATTGTATTACATGCTTGTTATACATATTAGAAATATCATGGCTGCGGAAGTTAAATATGGCCTCAAAGCCTTATATAATTTTGAAACTGTTATAAAAAATCCGTTTCATTTTTCATATTAAAACATGTATGGGTAAGAGTTTGTATTAAGACGGCCGTAGGGAGTCTTATCGAACTCTTACCCATATAACTGCAAATCGGCTCTTACAACTTGATATCAGATAAAAATATAGAAAG